TGAGATTAAAGCAACCTAGTAGGCTTTGTTATTTAACTAAAGGCACACTGTCTCTGCTTTATAAAAATCATATGATGTTTCAATTTACTAGCTATGATAGTAGAAACAAAAGTTCTGGGTGAATTTTTATACAGCTTCCCTCAAACAAGCCCACTGGGGTCATACAACCTTCCTTCAAGCTGTACATCTGAAAGGTTGTCCTGCTTTCCTTTCTCCCCCATCCCTGCCCAAGATCAGAATATGACTATCACCCTCATGTCCCATTCTCCTAGGTTTTTATATGTGCATTATTCAGCCTCCTCAGACTCTCCCTCAGAACTGTAAACATAGAAATATTTTCATAACTATCAGTTATTCTACCAATGACGTTCTTATGAAGACCTCACCCAGGTTTCCGGACTACTCTCACCTGAATGGGTGACTGATAATATCCTCCTCAGAGCTGATGTCCTTGGATTTTCTTTTCTACATCTTCCTAGAATTTATCCTTCATGTCTCCCTGTCTTGAATTCCCTGTTTCTTGGGCCTCTGCACATTCTAGGAGCTCATTAAGTTCCTGGCCAAAACCTTTTTGTGTATTTTTCTCATTTAATTCACACAGTACAATCATATGTAGTAAATTGTCCTATTATCACAATTTTACAGATGAAGAAAATAAGGCTTATATAAGAGCCTTAATACTTTGCCCAAAGCCACACAGCCAGTACACTTGGAGTTAAATATAAATCAATTTCACTTCAATGTAATTCTCTTAGTCACTATAATTGTATCAACAACAATAAAAGCACTCTCTAGAAAGGTGTTTGTCTAATTTTTAAAATTCATATTGTCATGGCAACTTAGTGAACTATGCCAAAAAATAGTTCTGGTACAAAGAAATCATGACCTAGACTCAAACATACCAATGAATACAACTTCAGCTCTTTTCTAGAAGATCTATTGCAGAATACTCATAAGAATATGAAAAAATGAGAAGTTGCTACTTTTATAGCAGTTTTGACAGCAAAAAAATGCACAGAATATATTTTTTATAATTTGCTAAACATGTTTGAATGTTTATTTTTATGTTTAAAATATTAATGTCAAAACACCATTTCTAAATCATTAAATTGCTTGAAAGCTTGAGTAATAGGTAAAACATATGTAAGACTGAATTTGCTGTTGACATTGTCTAAAAATTTGAAACATTTTGCTTATATGAAACATTATTTTTACTAATACAAAAATTCACTTTTGTTTTAAATTGTAGGACTAAAATTTGTTCAGATTGAGATGTAAAAATAAAAAATAATGCATATGAAATATATTTTTTTCTAAATAATGATAGGTCTTGTATAGTAATCCAGTAAGTGATGCATTAACTGGAAAATGCAGAGAAAAGGAAATATTAACCTATAAAAAATGACTCCACTCAGTACAAACATGTGTTTTATTACTTTCTATTTTTATTTGTGTAGAATGGCAAACCATTAGAAGACTATATGTGCTGTTGTCTCAACATTATAGACAGCTGCATTTCCATCCCAGATGTGTATCTATCAGCTGTGTGATCTTGATCATTTCAACTCTTTGCATAGGCTTTTTATTTGTCAAATAAATGATAACTACTTTTTTTCAGGGATGATAAGTTTAGACTGCAGTAAAATAATAGTGAAATTAACAGAGATCATGCATGCAGAAATTTATTTTTCTCATTTACAAATTTCTAGAGGTATATCATCAGACATTATAGCAGCTCTGCTCTGATTCCTGGTGTGTGACTCCAATTCTCATAGTCCAAAAAGGCAGCCCCCACATTTTATAATTGTGAAGATTTCATGAGTAATAGCTCATAAAGTATATATTACATTTAAATAAATGTCAATAAATGTTAGATTTTCATATACATCTTAAAATTCCAACTTGCAGTAATCTACTTATTAATATGAGTTGTTAAACACAGTGAAGACTTTTTCTTCTATAAAATAACCAAATGTGTGTAACATTTAAAAAATATTTTGTTTTTCAAAAGGTCGGTGAAAACATCTTTGATCCTCCATTGACCCATTGGCCTTTGGGAGCCACCAAAATAGACCAATGAACCCCTGATGATATCCACAGATGAATTTTATTTAATTTTTATTCACTATAAAGTGTATTGTTAATTCTATATTTTTATTTGTGCAATAATCTATAGAGAGATTATATGCTAGAATTTTGTAAATATATCTAATAATAGAGAATGTGGGCATTTTGTTTACATTCATGATTACATTCATATTAAGATATATCATGATTTATGTGATGGTTAATTTTAGGTGTCCTAATTTTAGGTGTTAATTTTAGAGTCCTAATTTTAGGACTCTATTAAGGTACCCCCAAGTAGTTGGCAAAGCATTATATCTGGGTATGTCTGTGAGGGTCTTTCCAAAAGCGATTGTCATTTGAACTAGCAAACTGAGTAGAAGACCCACCTTCGGCCTATGTGGGTGGGTACCATCCAATTAGCTGAGAGCTCTGATAGAACAAAAAGACTGAATAAAACAAAAAAGGCAGTGGAAAGGCTAATTCTCCATCTGTCTCTGGAACTGGGACTCTTTTCTTCCCTGCCATTGAGAATTAGAACTCCAGGTTCTCTGGCCTTTGATATCCACAACTTATACCAGTGACGTGCAGAGTTCTCAGGCCTTCAGCCTCAAACTGAAAATTTGATCATCACCTTCCTTGTTTTGAAGCATTCAGACTTGGACTGAGTCACACTACTGGCTTTCCTGATTCTCTGGCTTGCAGATAACATATCATGGGATTTCTCAGCCTTCATAATTTTGTGAGAGAATTCCCTCAATAAATCCCTTCTTATCTATCAATCAATCTACCTATCTATCATCTATTATCTATTTCTCTATCTGTCCTGTATATATTCTATTGGTTGTGTCTCTTTGGAGATCCCTAACCAATACAATTGGCAATGATTTTACAACAGTTGAGCTAGATATTGCAAAGGTGTATGTATACCCAATTAAACAAAACAAAGACAACTCTCTTGTTCTATAGCACTCAAGCCAAATACAAGCTTTGAGATCTTGTTCAAGTTATATAATTTCTATATGCCTCAGTTTCCTCCAAAGTAAGGATAATAATGTCTACCACATGAATTTGTAAAGCAAACAGAACAAGTTGATATGTTAAATGTATAAAAAGATGCGGATTTTGTCTTCTTATTTAACAATTTGCTTTACTCCATCAATTGTAGTAATTGTGATAACAACGCAGACATTTATTTTTTATTATTGGTTCTCAATGGACAGTTACATATGTTGTAATGCTAACCTTCTCTTCACTGAAAAAAACAGCTTTAGAGTGTTACCAAGACTTGTCTACTTTACACAAGCATTTGCAACTGCTCTCTGGGAGATTTTAAAGTATGAGAGCTATCACTTCCTAAAATATAATTATTAGAAACCTTATTCTCTGCATCATATTGAAGTCATAATAGAAAAATATGTTTTCTATATAATAGCATCAGAGACTTTGTTTATATATTAAAGCAAAGCAAAATTGTTTATCATATTAAAATATCAGTATGAAGCTTATTCCCTGCTAGTTTTTCTAGTACTTCCCTCTTATACTGAATTTTTAATGAAAATTGTATAATAAGTAAAATGTTAAGGAAATTATACTGTAGTAAATTAAATTTTCTACTCCCAGAAACATATTTACAAGCCTTAACTCTCAATACCTGTGAATGTAACCTTATTTTGAAATAGAGTCATTGCAGATATAATTAAAGAACTTGATATGTGATCATCTTGGATTTAGGGTGGACTCTAAATCTAAAAAGCAGAATCCTAATAAAAGAAAGAATAAAGATATTTGAGACAAATCAGGACACAAATTAGAAAGCTATGTGAAGATGCAGGTGAAGATTGGAGTGATGTATCTATGAGCCAAGGACCCAGGAATAGTAACAGCTATTAGCAATTAGAAAAGTGTAAAAAACATTCTCTCTTAAAGCCTTTAGAAGAAACTAACAATGTCAATACCTTGATTTTAGACTTCCGACCTCAAAACTGTGAAAAAATAAATATATGTTACTTTTAAGTCACCAAGTATATAATAATTTATTATGGCAACTCTAGTGAACTATTACATATATCTAATATATATTAATATTTATTTACTTTTGTGGTCATAATTCAAATTAACACTGAACATTGTGATAATTTCTTTTATGATCATTAAATGGAGACCATCTTTTAGTTTGGGAACTACTGGTATGAGAAAAAAAGTACTTCTGGAAAATGTAAAATGAGAAATTATAGTAGGCTGGAAGAGTGGAAAATGGGGCTGGAAGGAACCTGGAGAACATCTCTTCCAAATTTCTTGTTTTATAGATAAAATATGCAATCAGACTTGGGATATGATTGGTTTTTACTTTACTGCCACTTAATTTCCATGGTCCCTTGCTTAATAGTTCCAAAGAGAGGTTAAAAAACTTAAGAAGCAAAGGAATGGAGTAACTGTTTAATCCATAGACTAAGTGGTTTCTTCCTCAATATCAGTTTAAACCATATCTTAATGATCACAGAACATTTCTTCAAAGTTTCCATAACATACAAAACTGCATTTTAAAAGAAGCAAAACAAAAAACCAAACATCTTCCTTGTCACATCAGAGGTTGCTAGATACAATATAAAAAGATCACTAATTTTTACTTATAGCCCAAAAATGCTTGTGACTTTTGTAACTGGTAAAGTTTTCTTTATTGAGATCTTTGTATACATGTGTTTCTGAAAGAAAAGATATAAGGAGAGGTATTTTACAGTAGTTTTACCCTGTAATACCCAAATACTCTTTTACTCCATGGGGCACTTCACCAACATTTTCATTTTTTGTCTTCATTTTTTTGTCTTTATAATTGATCTCCAGGCTAGTTGATCTTGGCACTAATGCACTGTGGAGCACGGGTGGCTGGTTGCTAGGCAATCTCACTTGAAACAGCAACATTGCTGGGCCTCTTACCTATGAGAGTCTTGTCTGGGGAGAATCTAAGGCATTAAACTACTTCTAATGCTTTTCTCCTTAGGTCTCCAAACAAAACCAACAAAAAACAGAGATTTGAATGAATACTGAAGGTATTTAAAAAGATTATCATGATTTTTTTAAAACTCAGAATATTAATGTCTTATTCTCAAGCTTTAGGCGATATCTTTAGAAACTTCCTTTGGCAGTTTTTAAATATCAGATTAATGTTCTATTAAGGTCTCAAAATACGAGCCAAGCCAAGATAATTTTTTTCTACCCTATATTCAAAGAGTTCTTTGAAATAATGTATTGAACAAAGTAAGCTACCTGCTTACTGTGAATAGAAATAAAATAGTTCTATTGAGATAGAACATGCCCCGTAACAGTGTTAGTAAATGATATTAATTTAAAATATAGTATAATTTACTATATTTAAGGAACAACACATTTGATTCTATTTTGGGGTTTCACTGACTATTCTAAACCACATCTTCATAATTGTTTATGTAAGTGTTATACATTCAAAGTCCATTGTGAATATTAAGAAATATTACAGGGCTGTTGTAGCATTTGATGATTCAATTTTATTGCTATTTCTATTAGGTAAATACTGATTATGATCTAGTTATGGGGAGAGAGGAAGGCTAAAAATTTGCCATTAGATTCGGTTCATCATGAAGGAAGTAAACTTTTATTCTCAATTAGAGGAAATTATCTCATCAAATAGGAGATAATTCCTCTGGGAACACATGGACACGATTTTATTTTCTTTAAAATCATTGTGCATTTCCTCCTCTTCTAGTGCCATCTCAACACAAGAGAGTTGATTTGCTAGGAAATGTAAAACACCTTTTTAAAATGTGGTCTACACTACTAAAACAATTCTCTTCATTTGTGTGTGTGTGTGTATGTGTGTGTATTTTCCTGGAATCCAGGAGGTGATGAAGAAACATTCACTTTTTACTAGTAATAGTAAATCATTTACTAGTAATAGTAAAAAGTACTACCATTTATGAGTAGCAGCGAAGGTCAAACAATGGTACATATGTGATTCTCCCAGGGCTTTCCCCAGAAGGATATGTGTAGATAACAGACAAACGCAATTTTGTCTATTTGTATAGCATATATTTTTTTTTCTTGTGCTCATATGTATTTTCATACTCTGTTAAACTTTTGTATTTTTATTATGTACATATTTGAGAGTAGCCTTAAAATCTAGTTTATTAATATTAGTAATGGAAAGGTAATATGGGCCCTTAGTAAGGACATTTGTCCCAGTAATGGGATGGACATTTGGGATGATTCCAAGTCTTTGCTATTGTGAATAGTGCTGCAATAAACATACGTGTGCTTGTGTCTTTATAGCAGCATGATTTGTAATCCTTTGGGTATATACCCAGTAATGGGATGGCTGGGTCATATGGTACTTCTAGTTCTAGATCCTTGAGGAATCGCCATACTGTTTTCCATAATGTTTGAACTAGTTTACAATCCCACCAACAATGTAAAAGTGTTCCTATTTCTCCACATCCTCTCCAGCACCTGTTGTTTCCTGACTTTTGAATGATCGCCATTCTAACTGGTGTGAGATGGTATCTCATTGTAGTTTTGATTTGCATTTCTCTGATGGCCAGTGATGATGAGCATTTTTTCATGTGTCTGTTGGCTGTATGCATGTCTTCTTTTGAGAAATGTCTGTTCATATCCCTTGCCCACTTTTTGATGGGGTTGTTTATGTCTTGTAATTTTGTTTGAGTTCTTTGTAGGTTCTGGATATTAGTCCTTTGTCAGATGAGTAGATTGCAAAAATGTTCTCCCATTCTGTAGGTTACCTGTTCACTCTGATGGTAGTTTCTTTTGCTGTGCAGAAGCTCTTTAGCATTGCCAAGACAATCCTAGGTCAAAAGAACAAAGCTGGAGGCATCATGCTACCTGACTTCAAACTATACTACAAGGCTACAGTAACCAAAACAGCATGGTACTGGTACTAAAACAGAGATATAAACCAGTGGAACAGAACAGAACCCTCAGAAATAATACCACACATCTACAGCCATCTGATCTTTGACAAACCCGACAAAAACAAGAAATGGGGAAAGGATTCCCTATTTAATAAATGGTGCTGGAAAATTGGCTAGCCATAAGTAGAAAGCTGAAACTGGATCCTTTCCTTACTCCTTATACGAAAATTAATTCAAGATGGATTAGAGACTTAAATGTTAGACCTAATACCATAAAAACCCTAGAAGAAAACCTAGGTAATACCATTCAGGACATAGGCATGGGCAAGGACTTCATGTCTAAAACACCAAAAGCAATGGCAAAAAAAGCCAAAATTGACAAATGGGATCTAATTAAACAGATTTGAATTTTTAAAAACAGCTTCCTTTTCAAAGTCTTTTCTTGAAAACTCAGTGAGTATTTATGATGTAGTAATTGAAAATATTTGACCATAATTTTGTTTTATCTGCATTACACAATTCTTTTTTCATACAAAGTTGTACATCTCCTCTCCTTGTGGGTTTTTTTTTTTTTTTTTTTTTTTTTTTGACTAGAGTGATTCCTTGAGTAGTAGAATCAGTAGAATATCTGAGGTGTAGTCAAGGAATCTATCAATCATCCGTCAATCTATCCATCCATCCACACCCACATACATACTAGCTACAAGTTATTCTTCTGTCCCAAAAGGTTTATGAGTCATAGTTTATATCAAGTTAAATTAGGCATACTTTCTTTACTAAAAAAAAAAATCACTTGGGTTTTATAGAATGGAATGAGAATTACGCAAATCTCAATAACTGGTGGTGAACAAATTAGAAGTGAGATGTAAGACATATATAATATCGAAATTCTGCTCAAAGTTGAACTATTTCAACTTTTGCTTCCAAATGGGTCCACTGGTGTTATGATGCATTTCACTTTGAAATTCTATTCTCAGTAGCATTTCCTTTGAAATTTCAAGAAACGTGTTGGATAGAAGAGCCTTATGTATGTGTATTTATAGGCAAATAGAGTTCTACTTGTATTTATAAATACGGACGGTAAAATATATAGGTATGCCTAAACAGAGAAAGACAGTACTTACTATAGACACAAACACACACACAAATAGAAATATACATGACTTCCCTGTTGACATAAAATTTAAGCATGCTGTTCAATAAAATTTTACTATTTATATCATGGTCAGTCTACCATCAAAGGTTATTGCATGCCTTATAGCTCCTCTTAAAACAATAAGTAAACAAATTAATGTTAACCTAATTATAAGTGGCCTATACGCTTTTCACATGTTTAACTGTAGAATTCAGAAATACATAGTTTTCTGTGAATTTCTGTATCATTTATTTTAACTCAGAACTATCCAAATGAAATATTTTTTTTAAAAAACTGAGCCAAAGTGTTTATTTTGAAACTAGAGCTGTTACTTGATTGCATTCCTCTAGAACTAAACTTGAAAATTTTAATTTGGCAAAGCAATTCAGATTTCCACAAAGAGGTTTACTCAAACCTGATAAAAATTCTTCCAGGGAAGTGAATCAAAAATTATATTATGATGGATTTTCAAAACATAACATCTGAAATTATTCTCCTTTAACTCTCTGGATTTGTTGATAATATCTTAAGGTGAGGGGTTTTTATTTTATAAATTATCTACTAATTACAAGGCTGTATACAGTTTGGGTTTTCAATACATTTTAATTATTATGAATGTTTTTAGTGAGCAGATATACATCCCTTGAAACTCTCTTATCTTTTAATATGTCATATATATATAAATATATATGCATCATGTAACTCCCCTAGCATCAGAAAAGCATATTTACTTACAATCTTTGAGTTTGTTTCTACTTATGAAAAGTGGTTTTATAGAACATTTGTGCTGAAAGTGTATTGCTACTGTCTGAATGTGTTTCTCCAAAGTTTTATGTTGAAAACTAATCTCCTAAAGTGTTGGTATTAAGAGGTGGGGTCTTTGGAAGGTGATTAGGTCATAACGGTGGAGTCCTTGTGAATGGTATTGATGCCCTTTTAAAAGGGGACTGGGGGAGTTTGTTGCCACCTTTTGCCATGTGAGAACGCACGTTGAAGTCACCGTTTTTACAAAATGATCCCTCACTAAACACTGAATCTACTGGAGACTTGATTTGGGGCTTCCCAGATTTGTGAATTTGGGAGAAGTAAATTTCTGTTGTTTATTAATTACTCAGTGTCAAATACTTTGTTAAGGTAGTTTGAATAGACTAAGACAGTGGTTAAAATCATATTTTAAGTTCTCCACTTCATTGTATTATTTTAGTCATTGAAAAAATATTTATTCTCAAGATGTCAGGAATTGAAATGCCAAGAATATGTCACTAAAACTATACTGAATGTAGTAGAAAAAAAATCATGAAGGAAATAAGACCAAATGCTGTGAAGTGAATTGCTCATTGCCTTGTGATGTCAGAACAGTGGTATGTTTTATTTAGTACTGTATCTCAGTGTCTAGGCTGGAGCTTTTGTTGAATAAATGGTAAAATAACTGCAAAGCTAGAGTAAAAACCTAGGCCCAGCCCCAGTCTATTACACTTCCCACTGCCTCGTGATTGCCTTGCAGATTAAAGTATAACTGATATGAATAAAGAATTCAATGACTATTTAGAAGACAAAACAAAGCTCTCTGAAACCCATGGAAATATCCAGACGCTTAGAATTATTAACCTTTTACTACAAATTAAAGATGTTCACTAATATTATCTTGTTGTCAATCTGATTTATACTGCTAGGTTGAAACAACATATATATATAATTATATATATATTTTTTTTTCCATAGCGAGATATACAAATCTGCTAGTGTTTAAAGAATACATTTCTCTCATGTAATATAGTGGTTTCCTAATTGAGAGTGTACATGATGATCCCTTAAGATGTATGATGAATATTTTATTTATATTTATTTTTATCTACATTATATAAAATTAAACATATCTAATAATATTTATATAGGGACTAGCACTCTCATACCCGCATGTTTTCTGCAGACAGTTTTATTATTGTCAATTTTGTTCCTATGCAAACTATGCCTACCGTTGCCCCCCTTCCTCTAGGTTATGAAAGTACTTAATAATTCTGCAATGTGAGCCCAGGCTGAACCATAACTCACATATATTGTTGTTACAATGGGCATGCTTATGGTTCTCTTTCATGTCTCTGAAGCAAAACACTGCTGAAAAATGTTTTTGTCTTTTCTTTCTTCTTTCAAAGACGTTATAGTAGGCTTTAGATGCATTTCTGATTCTCTGTCACAATATAGACTGTGGAGAGTTTGGGTGAAATGATTGATCCTGAAGTAGGACCCCATCAGTTAACTTGTCGTATGTGATATCTATCTTCAGAGCTGAAAATTCACAGGGATGACTATATAACTATTCTGAGATGCAATAGAATATTCAAATATTCAATGAAGGAATTTTCCTAAAAGAAGCACCTGGGAATAGAGGGATATTTACAAAAGTTTTGTGTTTGTTCAGTAACCATATAAAATTATTCAAAATGTATGTCAAGCTACCAAACTTTGAAATTTTACTTGAGAAACATAGCCCCAAAATTATTCATTCTATGCTCTCAAAACATTAGGATTTGATAAAATATAACTTGTATTTATAAAAGTATATATATTTTTTGTATGTCCTAATATGTGATTGTACTAAGAAGACAATAAGAAATGATCTCAATGTTATCAGTTATGTCAGCAGATATTTGTCATGCTAATGAGTTGTGGTAAGCTTGGAAAATAACATTAATATTGTTATTCCTTATAAAGCCATAGTTATCTAGAGTGAGATATAAAATCTCACACTTGGGTGCATCCTTGTCCTACTAGGACTGCTAGGACTTTGACTTTTTAAAAAACGTTTTCTTTCTATATCAAGTATATTATTAATTTTTTTTTCTTATGATAGTTTTTTCCTTTAATTGTATGCCAATGTGCAATAGGGGTTCTCTCAGATTTAAGTATACGGCTGGCTACATTTTAAAAGTATTAAGATTAGATCATGTGGCATATTTAGTATATTTAATAAATGTAGAAAAACTTACCTTATTATAACATTTATTACTAGATTTACCTGTTATGGTTACAACTGAAAATTTGTTAAAATCCCACAAAGTATTTGCAAAAAGATAATGATTTAAATAAAATGGATAAAATGTAAATTAGGTCCTATTGCTCTATTTCTCTTGGAGAAGAAGTGCTAATATTGAATTTGTTCTTTATTAGTATAAGGTGCTTTCAGCATTCTTTATTTGCATATTGTGTCTGAATTTTCCATGTTTTAAAAATAGGCATTTCACAACCCAAAAACAGTAATGCCTTTTGAAGAAATACAACTCCCAGTAACAGCACAGAGTCTGCTAGACTGTACCCACCACCATCAGTGGGGTAAGTGCTTTCTAAAGAATTTCTAGAAGAGGTTGTGTGCTTTTACTACACAATAAACAGCACTGGTTTCCAATAAAACTTTATGGGCAGGTTGGATGATTCCTGGCCTTTCCTGTGGAGACATTAAGCATCTTTAGGGGAGTCACTTTGGTGCCCACTACACAGAGCTGCTGAATAAGCAGCAACATGACTTCAAAATTGATCCCAGAAAATCCAAAGAATTAGTTCCTGCTATAATTATTTGACATTCTTATTTGGAACCACTTTGGTCTTCTTTATTTATGACATATTAATGCTAGGTCAGGTCTCCTGGAGTAAGCAATTTCATGGATCTTTCTTGTTTGACTCTGTCTTTCAAGGTTGCCTAGATTGATGATGGCCTGTTCTTTGACAAGCATCCAAGGTCCCTGGATTTCTCCAGGCACTCATTAGTGTGATTGCTAATCCCTCTCAAGGCCCTGAGGATAGTTCTTTAGAGATCCAAAGTGATTATCTGGTATTCTATCTAATCTACATTCTAAGCCAAACCATTCTAAGTACACTCAGAGTTTATAAAAATTCATCTTGTCCTTTTTATGTGATGTAATAATGGACAAACAGAAACACTTATTTGTTCGTTATCTGATTTGATTTATATACAAAAAGGATTTATATACAGACAGAAATGATATGCTTTTATTTAGGTTAGGGATCACAGAAGTTTTTCTAAATAATCAAAGTACCTTACTCAAAGGAAGTATGTCTAGTAGATAAAATTATACTTTCTTTATAACCTTGAAGTCTTAATAATATGACAATGGTTTGGGAAGTGAACACCTTTCACAAAAATATCCCAAATTATAAACGTGCTCACTCTTACTTCAGGTATTGGCTGTTTTCTGCGTAGGATCATCTTCTCTCACCAGTTATTCTTTCTTTCAATTGTGCATTTACTCTTCCCTTGGGGTGATCTGCATATTTAATCTATGGCTGAGAACAGTCTGGTAAACAAATTATGGGGAATACGAGTTTTAAACACACAGGCTCAGGAGTAATAAGCAAGTCGGTTTACTTCACATTTGGCCTGAGTTTTAAACTAAGATTGACTTAAAATCTTCCTTCAGGGACTTACTTTATTGGAAGTACATTTAGCGTGTGGAGAGTGCTATTAGTTCAAAAGCATGGTCTGTTCAACTGACTGGAGGAGGGAGGGTATGAATCTTTTATCATGAGTGTTCCTTTCTTCTTCATTGAGAGTAGAAATAGAAAACATGAATACTAAATAGAAGAAAATATATACCATGTTATTTGTTTATTTCTATTCACCTTTCAAACTAAAATTTTCATAGGTAAAAAACCTGTTGCTTCAAACTAGTCTTTATAAAATGTTCTCAAATCACTTGAGTATAATTTGCATGCATATTTCATAGTAATGCCATGGAAAGTATTTGAAAGGAATAAATTCTAGGGAGACACTGCACAGCACATAGTTTCATATACTCAGGCCTTTGCTAAAAAATATACTGAAGAAAAATATTAATAGAGAGTCAATATAGCTTATTCATAGAATGTTATATTGCCCGTATTCAAATCACAGCACCACGACTATCTGTGTGTCTCTGGCAGGATATTCAAGCTCCGTTTGTTCCTGCATCTGTAGAATGGGATAAGAATAGCACCTACCTTAGGATTGCTTTGAGAATAAAGTATTTAATGTACAGCCCTCAGAAGTGTGTCTGCCTTACAGTAAGCACAGGTCTATCACTTTGCACAATAGGGCACCATTTGGGTTGAATTCTTTGTGATTTGTGCCTGGTGGAACACAGCATATTATGTGACTGGTGTCTTTTAATACTCTGCTACAAAACAGTCTTGTATAGCATGATGTAAATTAACTGTTATTGTCATTTTGGTTTATGCTGGGGTGACCTTATTTCTTGGTTTGGTCATGACAAGTCTTGGTTTATTTCTGTCTTCCTGATTAAATTGTTAACAACCTTTTTCATTTTCTGAATCCATTTATTCAAGCCTGTTTGAAATAAACTTGCTAGCTCATTTGTTTAGAACTTTAATATACAGTATTTTACTTTTATTTAAACCTCAGTATCTCTAGATTCAGACTGCAAGCCTGCATGACCTATTACACAACAATTTTCTAAAAAGATATTCACTTGGTTTGTAGCAAGTGAATGTTTGTTTCCATTGTCGTTTTTGGTTTTGCCAAAATATTCATATTCTTATTTTATAAGGCTCTACAAAGGTATTTTGACATAATTTCTTCATTGCTGATCAATTTAGTATCCCATATATAATTATCATTTCTAGACAATTGAAAAACAGGATACACTGTTTCAGCATTACTCAAAGTTTTCAAATCATTACCCCTATGAAAAGTAATATTTGCATAGAAGACTTAACTGAAATAAAAGGAATTTGGAGGCATTTATAAGAAAGCTGATATGACCCCTTCAAGAAGAGCTACAAACCACCACTCAATGAAACAAAAGAGGACACAAACAAATGGAAGAACATTCCACGCTCATGGATAGGAAGAATCAACCTCATGAAAATGGCCATACTGCCCAAGGTTATTTATAGATTCAATGCCATCCCCATTAAGCGACCAATGACTTTCTTCACAGAATTGGATAAAACTGCTTTAAACTTCATATGGAACCAAAAAAAGAGTCCACATTGCCAAGACAATCCTAAGCCAAAATAACAAAGCTGGAGGCATCATGCTACCTGACTTCAAAATATACTACAAGGCTACAATAACCAAAACAGCATTGTACGGGTACTAAAACAGAGATACAAACCAATGGAACAGAATAGAGCCCTCAGAAATAATACCACACATCTACAACCATCTGATCTTTGACAAACCCGAAAAAAAACAAGAAATGGGGAAAGGATTCCCTATGTAATAAATGGTCCGGGAAAACTGGCTAGCCATAAGTAGAAAGCTGAAACTGGATCCCTTCCTTACACTTTATACAAAAATTAATTCAAGATATATTAGAGACTTAAATGTTAGACCTAATACCATAAAAACCCTAGAAGAAAACCTAGACAATACCATTTAGGACATAGGCATGGGCAAGGACGTCATGTCTAAAACACCAAAAGCAATGGCAACAAAAGCCAAAATAGATAAATTGGATCTAATAAAACTAAAGAGCTTCTGCACAGCACAAGAAACTACCATCAGAGTGAGCAGGGAACCTACAGAATGGGAGAACATTTTTGCAATCTACTCATCTGACAAAGGGCTAATATCCAGAACCTACAAAGAACTCAAACAAATTTATAAGAAATAAACAACCCCATCAAAAAGTGGGCAAAGGATATGAATAGACACTTCTCAAAAGAAGACATTTATGCAGCCAACAGACACATGAAAAAATACTCATCATCACTAGCCATCAGAGAAATGCAAATCAAAACTACAATGAGATACCATCTCACACCATTTAGAATGACAATCATTAAAAAGTCAGGAAACAACAGGTCCTGGAGAGGATGTGGAGAAATAGAAACACTTTTACACTGTTGGTGGGACTGTAAATTAGTTCAACCATTGTGGAAAACAGTATGGTGCTTCCTCAAGGATCTAGAACTAGAAATACCATTTGACCCAGACATCCAATTACTGGGTATATACCCAAAGGATTACAAATCATGCTGCTATCAAGACACATGCACATGTATGTTTATTGCAGCACTATTCACAATAGCAAAGACTTGGAATCAACCCAAATGTCCATCTGTGACAGACTGGATTAAGAAAATGTGGCACATATACACCATGGGATACTATGAAGCCATAAAAAAGGATGAGTTCGTGTCCTTTGTAGGGACATGGATGCAGCTGGAAACCATCATTCTCAACAAGCTATCACAAGAACAGAAAACCAAATACCACATATTCTCACTCATAGGTGGGAATTGAACAACGAGATCACTTGGATACAGGGAGGAGAACATCACACACTGGGGCCTGTTGTGGTGTGGGGTGAGGGGGAAGGGATAGCATTAGGAGATATACCTAATGTAAATGACGAGTTAATGGGTACAGCACAGCAACATGGCACATGTATGCATATGTAACAAACCTGCACATTGTGCATGTGTACCCTAGAACATAAAGTATAATAAAAAATAAATAAAAAAAGAAAGTTGATAACATAATTTATCATTTTCTTAAAATTTATACCATTATAAGAAAAATAAATATTAAAGACATTAAATATTGATTTACATAAAACTTCCAAATGTCGTGAATGGTACTACCTAGGTTTTCTTCTAGGGTTTTTATGGTATTAGGTCTAACATTTAAGTCTCTAATCCATCTTGAATTAATTTTCGTATAAGGAGTAAGGAAAGGATCCAGTTTCAGCTTTCTACTTATGGCTAGCCAATTTTCCCAGCACCATTTATTAAATAGGGAATCCTTTCCCCATTTCGTTGTTTCTCTCAGGTTTGTCAAAGATCAGATGGCTGTAGATGTGTGGTATTATTTCTGAGGACTCTGTTCTGTTCCATTGGTCGATATCTCTGTTTTAGTACCCGTACCATGCTGTTTTGGTTATTGTAGCCTTGTAGTATAGTTTGAAGTCAGGTAGCATGATGCCTCCAGCTTTGTTCTTTTGACTTAGGATTGTCTTGGCAATGCGGGGTCTTTTTTGGTTCCATATGAACTTTAAAGCAGTTTTTTCCAATTCTGTGAAGAAACTCATTGGTAGCTTGATGGGGATGGCATTGAATCTATAAATAACCTTGGTCAGTATGGCCATTTTCACAATATTGATTCTTCCTATCCATGAGCATGGTATGTTCTTCCATTTGTTTGTGTCCTCTTTTATTTCACTGAGCAGTGGTTTGTAGTTCTCCTTGAAGAGGTCCTTTACATCCCTTGTAAGTTGGATTCCTAGGTATTTTATTCTCTTTGAAGCAATTGTGAATGGAAGTTCATTCCTGATTTGGCTCTCTGTTTGTCTGTTACTGGCGTATAAGAATGCTTGTGATTTTTGCACGTTAATTTTGTATCCTGAGACTTTGCTGAAGTTGCTTATCAGCTTAAGGAGATTTTGGGCTGAGACAATGGGATTTTCTAAATATACAATCATGTCATCTGCAAACAGGGACAATGGCATGGGCAAAGACTTCATGTCTAAAATACCAAAAGCAATGGCAGCAAAAGCCAAAATTGACAAATGGGATCTCATTAAACTAAAGAGCTTCTGCACAGCAAAAGAAACTACCATCAGAGTGAACAGGCAACCCACAGAATGGGAGAAAATTTTTGCAATCTACTCATCTGACAAAGGACTAATATCCAGAACCTACAAAGCACTCAAACAAATTTACAAGAAAAAAACAAATAACCCCATCAAAAAGTGGGCAAAGGATATGAACAGACATTTCTCAAAAGAAGACATTCATACAGCCAACAGACACATGAAAAAATGTTCATCATTGCTGGCCATCAGAGAAATGCAAATCAAAACCACAATGAGATACCATCTCACCCCAGTTAG